CGCCCTCCTTCCCCGCCTTCCCCCGCCTCTTCTCCTCGTCATCCGCAGGTACGCCTCCTCCTCCCCGCCGATCCTTCGCTTCCCTGTGTCCCTGTGCCGGCGCTGACAGTTTCTTTCCCGGCTCCCGCAGGCGATTCCAGCATGGTGGTCGTCGGCTCGGCGGACTCCTTCGAGGACATCCACGCCAAGGTGCAAGGTGCGGCGCCGATCCCCTCCCTTCTCGCTCCAGCTTTTCCACCGATTCTTCACACTGTTGTTGGCAGTACGATGCGTGCGCGAGTTTCGTTCTCACATTGTTGGTGTGGTCGCCCTTGCCTTTTGCAGTGGAGAAACTCCCCGCCGTCTTCTACTACACGGCGGTCTGGTGCGGGCCGTGTAAGTGCCGCCTCCGCGCCATGAATTGGGATTTGGGTGTGTGACTAGAGGGGGCTACAATTCTGTTGTTTGGTGTTGCAGGTCGGGCGATGGCACCTGTGATCGAGAAGATGAGCAGGCAGTACCCCAAGATACCAGTCTACAAGGTCGACATCGACATGGTAAGCCAACAGATTTCGCTCTTGCTGTAATGTTCATCTGCTAGCGAATTCCATGTTAATGTGTTCTCTGTTTGGATATGAATGGTAAATTTGCACAAGTACGACTGTATGAGTCTGTTCTAAGTTGTAACCTTATTTTATCAAAGATCATTGCATCACACTCCTGGTGTTCATCCGTCAAGTTGTGTCACGTAAACCACGACGTTTGAAATTCCGTTATGACAAGTAATTGTTGATAGACCATGCCTGTTAAAATGAAGCCTTAAGTTTTGATCTCGTAGAGTTGGATCTAAATAAATATATCTGTCAGCTTTCTTGGTGAATCAAGTTTGGGCTCACTCAGAGCCACATTTTCTTATTCACTTGGTTCTCTTCTTGGGAGTTTGAGAATGAAGTTAGCACGGTCACTTGTCCAGGATCATTGTAAAAGTTGCTTCATAACTAGTCCCACCGTTAGTTGGATATTCTGTATGCTTGATCTTTTCAAAAATCTAGCAGCAGGCTTTTGCCGGTGCTAAGTCCTGATTGTTTGGTATGTGTGCCCTTGTTCTTTCTGTAAAACTCCTTAATTAATATGATGAGGCAAAGCTTTTGCCTTCGTTTAATTTTTTTTATCTATGTGGTGTCACTTGGGCGAAAGTTGTGATGTGGTCATAAGGCCAGTATAACACCCATTGGGAGGATTTATGCAGAATTACTCTGTTAGGTTGGTGGAATTGCACTACGACCATTAAAAAAAATTGCTCCTAGACCATACATGCTAAAGGGAAGCCTCAAGTTGTACTCTGTTAGGTTGGTAGTAGGTTGGTTCAGCATAGCTATATTTGCCAGCTTTCTAGCATTACGAAGGTTGAAGCTTGGGATAACTCAGAGCCACAGTATTTTTTCTCTCTCAGTTAGCCTTCTTTTAGAACTTTGAGAATACATGAAATTGCTTTGTAACTGGTCTGCTCTTAGTTAAGCAAATTCGTCTAGACGAGTTACCTTCGGCAACATATTCCAGACACGCATGATCTATGCAGTATCACTTGCCTGAGAGTGATGATGCGGTACCAGGCATGTACCCAGTATAGACCAATGCAATTTAGTAATCCTATTTAAAAATTACTGTTCATGGTTTCCTTGTATGGGCATACTCATTTGTTTATAGTAAGCAGATTGAGTTGAGAGTTAGCGCATACCTGCATAGTGCTCTCCGTAGAAAAGATTCAAAATCAAGTACTGTTTGTTGAGGTGCTGTTCAGTTCAGTGGTTTTACTCTATTGTGAATCTGTGATTGCGTGTAAAAGGGACAAATGTTGCAGTGGTTACTTCAGTTTGTTAACTGGATGTCTTATTGGGAATAAACACCACGACAGTTGTCAGCACATGCCAGGCGGAATGCATTTGACCATGCAAGGTGGAATGTATTTCAAATACATTAAAAGTCATTGCTGTTGTGGCTATATTTAATGTTCTCAACAGTATGCCTGCTCCCGTTATTGATACACGATTTCTTTTCCTCTTGTGCTGCAGGAGGGACTTGGGACCAGACTTAGTAACCTGAAAATATTCTCTGTCGTAAGTTGCATACCTGAAATTGTACTTCATGAGATTTTTGTTCTTATTTTAATATGATATAAATTATAGTACTATTCTGTTTCATGGTAATGATGCGTTACATATGTTTTTGTGACTGGAGGAGTCTGAGAATATGCATTGATTCAACCTTACTTTGTTAAATGCATACGTGCATGTTCGTTGAGTTCACTTGAACTGAGAGCCAGATTATAGAAATATCCTTCTACCAGCATGTTTGTGTATTTGTGTTCATACCAACCTTCATCCTAACTCGCAATCCAAATATTTGACTCTTGCTGAACCTGGCACAGCCAACTTTCCACTTCTATCACAAAGGCGAGAAGAGCAGCGAAGTGGTTGGTGCTGACGTGAAGAAGCTTGAAGCTGCCATGGAAAGTCTTCACAAGTAAGATCTTTCTTCTCGTCCTTTTTTTTCTTTTTCTTCTCACACAAACAGTACAGTGCTGTTTGAATGATCTCATCTGCGGTGGAGCAAACGAAAATAAACAAGCCTGGCCATGATAGTTTGAATCTTGTACTCAACTACAAACGTAATTATGCTACGGGCCTATATTAAACATGTCTCCAGCACTTGGCCATTTACTTTGTATTGCGATGCTTGTGACATTAATACTTTATATCGCAGTTCTCTTGACATTAATACTTTATATCGCAGTTCTCTTGACATTATACATTGTACTTGCACAGGCAACAGTGAAGTTGACTTGGAGTGGGGGACAGTTCTTTTGCATGAAGAGTTGGAGAGGCTGTAATGCTTGTGATTTGCGTGTTTGACATGGAAACTTCCGCCTTGCGATCTTGTTTCGATATCTGGATACACACTGGCCGCAAAACATCGATATCTGGATTTATGCCACGCTTGAGCACAGCTTTTGTGCAATTTCTGCACGTCTATTTAGGAGCATCTGTGATTATGAATCTGTCTATATTGTGGCGCTGCTCTCCGTCTCTGATGGTTGGGTCCTGAATTGCGTGTGGTCTCGGCCTTCGGCACAAACTATGATCTTGAACTGTCATGTTCTTCTCTCGTTCGTCTTCCTTACAAGTAGTTTATGCTGATATCATTTACTAGAATATAAATGAAAATAAAACATGATTAGCGACGATGAGTTGAGCCCTGCAACGAAACAGCTCTTACGATAACACAACAGTGGAAGATTCAAGTCAAGACGTCGTAATACTTGTGATCAGAATCTGCATTGACGTGGAAGGTCAAGTTTTTCTTGTTATTTTTTTTTTGAAACGAAGGCAAAAGATTTGCCTCATTGATTAAGTAAGAAGAAGAGAATTGCCCAGTTAACTAATGAAAAATCAGATAAAAACTGATACAATAGACCATATGCGGACTACTCGCTAAGAAAGAAACTTCATGACCACACTGTCAACTCGACAAACATACATAAGACGAAACAACCATGATTGGTGGCTGCGAAAGAAATATCGACGCAGCTTTTGCAAATCTTTCTAACTGGCAGCGCCAGGCGCCACTGCCTCTGTCCGATGGTTCGGCTGGACTCGCATGACAGCCTGGGTTTCGGTCTTGACTGTATGAATAATTGTTCGAACGGCGCTTGCTGGCCTATCGTTAAGCGTTTTCCTTTTTAGAAACACGATACAAACGCAGATGAATACATACACAAGTGGTGTTCGGAGGCAGCATTGCCTGCCTCTGAGGTGGGGTCCACGTAGCTCCCTCGAAGCTTGGCCAAAAACGCACCACTGTATCAGTGGCGAAGCAAACCGGAACAATCTGTGGGATCGTTGGTCATTTTTTAGATAATTTTCTTCGTAATCTACAGTAACTTCACGGTATTTGTAGGCTATTTTTTCTAAAAGCTGTGGGGTAAACTGACCCGTGGATTACATGTAGATTCGTCACTGCCTGTATGGTATTTGAGTACATCCGTTGGACTGGTTCCACAAAGATGAAAGGAATGTCATGTAGGGACAAATTTTTGTTTAAATCAGAATAGAAGCTTTGGATGGTCAGAGCACCTTTAGAGACCGGGGAGGCTACTCCCTTTGTTTCATACTAAATGTCTTAACTTTAGTATATTTTGTAGTAAAGTTAGTACAAAGTTGAGGCACTTATTTTGGGACTGGGGGAGTATACACCTAAGAAGTTCATCTCCACTATCTTATTTATCTTAATAAGCAATCTATTCACTCATCACATATGTTGACAGATGCCCCCTCCTATTTAAATGCGCATGCAAGCCATCCACATCATCAAACGCATTGCAATCAATTCACTTTCCACCACATGCATGCCCACCCCATCACCAAAGAAGATCCAAACCCTCCACATCATTTAGTTTGAAATTTAATTTTTTCAACAATATAAATAATTAAATGCATAAGACAATATAACATGCATCCACCCTCCATTTACCTCTAGGTTGAACATGGTGCGGTATTATTATCATGCATTCTAATTTTTTTAACAAGTTCACCTGCTAAAAAATTCCGCAGTAACACGCGGGGCGTTACATAGTTTAGGAAACACGCGAGCATCCGTCCGTGGCAAGTCCAGGGGCTTGAACCTGAGCGGGTTGGTTTCGCAACGAGAAATCTAACCATACGATTGGCTTCTTTTAGCGGCGAAGCGGTGACAGCGCGCTCACGGACGACGAAACCTATAGCATTGCAAAATAAACCCGGTCTCGCTCTGCCCCCGTTCGTTACCGGCCTGTCGTGTCTGCCGACGCGCACGAGACCAGGCCAGGAGAGGGGTCCGGCCCGGCCGGGTCTGGCACTGCCACCACACATGCTCCCCACTGTGAGCCTGTGACGCCGCTGCGCCGGGCACGCTCCCGCCCGCTGGAGGCTGCTCCCCGAGGAGAGGGCTGGCAACGGCCCGCCTGCGTGTCTCCCGTCCAAGTGACAGAGCAGGCAGCGGCATCGGCATCGGCATCGGCATCGGCATCGATCGAGGCCGTGGTGGGGGGCGTCGGCGCCAGGCGCGGCACGTGAGGGAGCCAGCCAGTGGATGTACATGTACGCAGTACGTCCGGTTCGTTACTGTGCGATGAAGACGGTGACGCAACGGGATCGCCGGCCGGCCGGCCGGCTGGCCCCGTTGCAACCTGCGGCCGCACGGCCTCGGCTCGGAACCAATAATGCACGCACGTACTCCTACATCTGTGCTGCATTTACGTACGCTGCCGCTGCCGCTGTTGCCTTGGCGGGCAGGACCACCCGCCGCACCCACGACGACGACTCTTGGACTATTCCGGCGACCGGCGGCCAGGCGGCCGGGCCCGCCGTCCTACGGACGATAAGGAGGGAGCGAGGGAGCGAGCGGGACGGCGGTGGAAGGAAGCGCCGCGCTGCTCGGCGGCTGTCGCCACGCGGGGTGGCTGCACTGTTGCTTGCCTTATCTGCTCGCCATCTCTAGGCTAGCTAGCTGCTGCCCTCGACTGGCGTCGATCGACCGCCCCTGCAATCACATTCTCCGGTCCGGTCTCTCGCTAATGGCGAGTCGCCGTCATGCCTTCTCCTTTTCTTTAACTAGAAAAAAAAGGTGTCAGCCATGCCTCGGTCCCTGAGTGCCTAAGCGCCCCTGCCCACCCACGGCCCTAAACGTGTTAGAATAAATTCGAGGCATACCGTTGATCATCCAAGGACCAAGCAATCACACGAGCACGACACCGAGATTTGTTAACGAGGTTCACTGATATGGCTACATTTCCGGGGCCTGACTATGGGCGCTCCTCCCCATGACACCGCTACAATACCGCATCCGGTCGCCCTGGACACCGGCACATGCCGCCGGCTTCCCCTGCATTCCGTTGCTATTATGTCGGCATAGGTTACATCGTGTGTCTACCCCCGCTATATATGAGAGGTCTAGGATACAAGTGTCCTATTTGAACATGGCTACATATCCTATCTAAACACAATACAACTACAAGTCCAACTGTAACCTACCTCGTACACTATATTCGACACAATTCTAACAAACTCCACCTTGGCGAATATTCTCCACCACCTTGAATTCGTCAATACGTCAAATTTTCATGCACATTGGACTTGAGCTTATTCCATGAGTACCGCTGCTACTCCAAAGACTCCATGTGACTCCACCTGCAACTTGTAGTTCCTTCTTTTCTTGACCACAATCAACATTCGAGCGAAATTAAGTTCCACATTACTCTAGTTTGCGCTCCCAACTTTCAGAGTATCAGTCCAACGCCATCACACACCGATCACTGACCTGCGTGAAAGTGAACAACTCACATATTGGGTGTCACACATAAGAATTACCTGAACTCAATATCACCGCTCATTTCTTGACCGCCTGTCTGAAACTTGAAGGAATTTCACCGTTGCTTGTAGTCATCCCGAGTCAAATTCACAGTTGTCTCACCACATGTATGACCACCAGAGCCCTGGCCCGTCTCCATGCCTCATGCATACCGCATGTCTCGCCGCTATTACCGCGTCGAGCCTCTGCTGTCCCGGTCGAGCCTCAAGGGTCGCGAACCCACACCACTCAACCCCCACTGCAGAGTATCACCGATCGTCACCGACCGATGGCGAGTTTCACGCTTCCATCAGACCACTGGGCTCCAGTCCGAACTGCATGTCACTCGCTTTTCCCCCTTGCTGAATAGGCTTCGATTCCCCGGATCCTTACATCGTAGCCCCTCAATCCAGCTCCACCTTCAACATCACTTCATGGTAGATGATCAGTCCACCCACACGCCCCGTCGACTTCAAGCTCATATGTGCACCGTCTTGAATCAACCCCGCGCCAGTCTTGTCGAAGCCACACAAGCCCTCGGGCCTGTGCCACGTGTTTCCACGCCCCAGAAGTCGGTCACCATCAACATCACGCTCCTATGTCGTTGTCACCGATCCCGCACCGTCTTCGAACTTATCCAACTGCAGACACATTCCAGACTCCTCAAGCCGTCACCGTGGCCATCGCCATCCAAACACAAATGTGTACCGACAAAGAAAACCAAAGCACAATCCTTCATAGCCTTTCCGTGTGAACACCAAAGGAGATTAACAAAGCAACCCAAGGCTCCTAATTCACCACACGTATGTAGCTTTTGAACGAACTTCTCTGTTCCTTTCTTGATAAGCATCATGATCGAACTCCGAGTCCTTGTGCCAATCTTTTTTTTGTCACAAACAAATCTGAGGAGCTCCACCACATATACGGACGCCTCCCGATCAGCAGCACTTCTCCATAGGATTTAGCACAAGCAGCCCAACGTGGGCCTCGCCAACCCCAGCGCACTGCGCAATAGGCCTCCAGCACACAAATAGCTTGACTAGGCCGCACCAGGCCATCACGCCAAGGATCTGCCAGTGCCATGGCCGACCACGTTGCTTTGATTGCCCATCCGATTTGACCTGCTGATTACGTGATACGTCGCACCATCACCGAGAACACCGCCTGCTGGATCACGTCGCTGCTGCCGCAATTCGCGTGCCCTG